GAGCTGTGCCACCAGCACTGCCAAGTCCCTTTGTGACCAACAGCTCTGTCCCCACTCCTCCCCCAGCCTGGAGCTGCATGGGCTGTTGTGTCCCAAGGGCAGGACCAGCACTGAGCCTTAGTGACCCTCATGCAATTGTCCTTAGCCCATTGATCCCTGGGATGGTCCTGTTCCCCCTCAGGTGCCAAGGCTCAGCACAGTGCAGCTCACCTCGTTGGGCTCTGGTTTCCTTTCTTCTTCCAGGACATGCAGGGCCTTGGCCTGCAGCTCCACCTGCATCTTGGCCAGCGATGCCTCTGTGTCCCGGGAATGTCGCAGCTGCCGCCGGACCTCCTCCCCCTCCTCGCCCAGCCGCATTTGCTGCTCCAGCAGCTTCCTGGAAGCAGGACAGTGAGACCCTCAGGTAAATGTGCCACTGCCACGTGCCACCAAGGCTTGGCTGCCACCTAAAAACACCACCCTGCTCTGCACTTGCCCTGACACGGAGGGGAGAAGGAATCAGCACTTCCCAGCTGTCCCCATGTCCCAGGGTGGATGATGTACTGGGATCATCACTCCCAGCTGCACAGGGAAGGGGCTGATGGCATCACTGCCAATGCTGGAAGGGATTCAGGCTCCAGCACCACTTTGATCCTCTCCTTCCTACTCCCACTCCTGCCCAGGGGCCACCCAATCCTCTCTTCTCCTCCAAACCCTGGCACAGAATCCCTGGTCCTGCTCAGCCCCCCCAGCCCGGCTTCCTGTTGGCATCACTGGGCTGGCAGGAGGGGCCATACACCTGAGGCAGCTGAAGTCTCAAAAGCCTTTTAAATCTCAGCAGAGGGAATCCCTGGAGCTCTGCCAGTGACAGGGTTAGGCCAGAGGGGAGACAGGAGGTCAAACAGTGGTGCAGAGACCCCCTGAATCTACTCAGGCACCCCCTGAGCCCACCCAGGGACCCCCTGAGCCCTGCCCACAGGCAGCTCTGGTACCTTTTCAGCTGCTCCTCGTGAAGCTGTTGCTGCACACGAGCCTCGTTCTCCCGAGCTTCCTTCAGCTCCTCCTCCAGCAGCTTCTTGTCGGACACACGAGCCTCTGCCAGCAGCAGCTGGTGCTGGGAGTCCTTCAGCCTCTGCTGGAGCTTGGAAATCTTGGAATCAAATTGGACATGGATTAAACTCTCTGAATGTATATGCCAATGTGGGAATCAGATCCCTTTGATCCCTCAGTGTCTGAAGCATGGCAAGGAAAGACTGGTTAGGGTTTTGACTCCAAGTCCATTAAAAGCAAAACCTTTGGAATGGCTAAGCAGATTTTGGATCAGACACTGTCATGAATTTCCAACAATCCTTTTTGCACCCACTTTGATCCTGCACACCTCAAACCCAAATCCAACAATAGCTGCAGAATCATGGCAGAATCAACCTCATAGAAAACACAAGGTTGGGGAATTTTCCAGCCAGCAAACAGCAGGAAAACTGCTTGGCAAGGCCAGGATTGGGGTTCCCTGTGCCTGTCAGTACTTCACAGATATTGAGCCATCAGACTTGGCTTCTGTTGCCTTGATTATGCTCCCATTAATAAGAATTTTTTTCCTACAATATTTAGCTGAGTGATCACAAAATGCACTTCAGGGAACCAGTTCAGGAGCTGCTTCTGGTTTCTGCCCTAGAACTGCACAGCTCTGCTCAGCACAGCCCTCTCTTCCCAGCTCCCACTCACCTTCCTTTGTGCTTCACCTGACCTAGACTTCTCCTGGGCCAGTCTCTCCTGGAGGCTGCTCTGGAGCTTGTCAGCCTGGGAGCACTTAGAGAGCTCCTGTTCCAGCTCCCTGACCTTCTGCTGGCTCCTCTCCCACTGTGCTGAGAGGGAGGAGCAGGTCTCTGTGGTGTCTGAGAGCTTGGCCCGGGCCTGCTTCAGCTCAGCTTTCACCTGGGTTGCAAAAGACAAAATCAAGTTTAAAACTTCAGCATAAATCAGATGGAATGGCTGGATTGGGAAATGGGAATGGAATTACTACAGTGATTACAAGAGAAGCCAGGGAGGAAGTCCAGCATTTTATTTGAAGGCAGTGAAATTTGGCATAGAATCCCAGACAGGTTTGGGTTGGAAGGATCTTAGAGCTCATCCAGTCCCACCTCCTGCCATGGGCAGGGACACCTTCCACTAGCCTGGATTGCTCCAAGCCCCATCCAACCTGGCCTGGAACACTCCCAGGGATGGAGCAGACACAGCTGCTCTGGGCAACCCGTGCCAGTGCCTCAGCACCTCACAGGGAAGAATTCATTCCCAATATCCCATCTAGCCTTGCCCTTCAGCAGTGTGAGCCATTTCCCCTTGTCCTGTCCCTCCAGGCCCTTGTCCCAGGTCCCTCTCCAGCTCTCTTGGAGCCCCTTTAAGCACTGGAAGGGGCTCTGAGGTCTCCCCAGAGCCTTCTCTTCCCCAAGTTGCACACCCCCAGCTCTCCCAGTCTGGCTCCATGGCAGAGGGGCTCCAACCCTCTGCCAGAATTCCCAGGGAGCTGAGGCAGAGCTTGCTGGAGATCCTGGCTCTGTTCCTACCTTGGTGCATTCCTGTTGGAGCAGGAGGTTTTGCCTCTGGAGATCAGCATTCTTCTCCCTCTCGTACCTGAGCTCCCTCTCGGCAGAGCTGCAAAGGTTCTGCACCCGCCGCAGGTCCTGGCGCAGCTGCTGCAGCTTCTCCTCCTGCTGCTGGAACCTCTCCTCAGACACACTCTGCAGGGACAGCACAACACAGCTGACATGGACAGTGACCTCCAGGAAAGGGAAAGACTGGGATTTAAGGAAGGCAGCAGTATGCCAGGAGGACTTCAGGGCACTGAAGCAGGAGGATGGGTAAAGCCTGGCATTCCTCTGCCCCCACACTGTGTCCTGCTCCCTCTCCTAGCCCTGAAGAGCTGTAAAAGTCATGTGGATGTGGCACCTGGGGACATGGTTTGTGGTGAACACAGCAGTGCAAGGTTAATGGTTGGACTTGATGATCTTAGAGGGCTTTGCCAAGCTCAGTGATTCCACGATTGTGTCCATCCCCTCAGAAAAGCAAATGCTGCTCCTGAGGCTGAGGGAGAAGATAACCCAGATGAGGGGACAAATCCCTGGTAAAATGACCCTTTCCAAGCAAAGAAAGTCACCAGGTTGCTCTGAACTCTTGTATCAGTCTCAGTGATGCAACCAAGCAGGAGCAGCACATCCAACTGCAGCTCCCAGAGGGAACAGGGACAGGATGAGTCCTGGCAGTGGGACAGGAACGCAATGTGACAGCAGCCTGGGCACCATGAGGTGGTCACTGATGGTCTGTGATGGCTTTTTGAGCTCCTTGGTTCACCCACCTTCTGGCAAGTGCCTAGCACACAGACCCAGAGCTGTTTGGTGTCCCAGAGCCCTTCGTCC